TTTTGAGTGGTCGCGCCGCTGCAGCGTCACTCCAGAATATTTACAATTCTTATTGCCCGAAAGGGCGTCTGCCGTGTTAAGGAGAATGCCGTATGAGCCTTCAGACGTTGCCACGTTTCCTTCGATAAAAACCGACTTTACTGGGAAAATTGGGAATTTCATTTTCCAAAATTTTTAGACAATTTTGTCCGCAATTCAATCTGAAATATCTGAAAATTTCGAGAAGAAATACGCATAAATGGTGTCAAAAATACATGTATTATCGAGGGAAATTTGGCAACTCTCGAATGTTCATACGGCGTTTTTCCTTAGCACGGCAGTAAGTAACGTTCTGTCTCTTATGAGTGGTGTTTCGAGTTACGAGCCTGTGAAATTTGGCAACGAGGCTATCGTACGTCCGTGCGCCGCCGATATGTGTTTCGTGCGCTAATGAAATTGGGGAGCAAGTTCTCAGCCTGGAATTTCTCCTGGCAGCTCTGCGCCTTAAGAGGATCGTGTTTTGCAGCAATAGACTGGTTTCGTGGCTTAATCATTGTTCGATAAATTGCCCTAAAAAATTGCTGCGAACACTGGGGAAAAAACACATTCGATCTAGAGTCCAAACTCTTGAAAACATTGCCAAGAAAAAATACTCTTGATTCAATCAGATTTTTGCTTAAATTAAAAGGAAATCCGCTCGGATTAAGAGGCTTGGTTCTTGATTCGAGCAAAAATCCGATTGAATGGACAGAAAAGTTCTGTGCGTATATAGTACCCTTTTGTTTTGTGGCAGATCAGCAAAACAACACGGGTAGTGTGTCATTCAATGATAATTTTTCTAGTTTCACCAAGCTTTTCCAAATTTCTTCCAAATTTTTCTTGTGCAGTTTTGTTGTTAGGCAAAACGTCTTTGCAGATCTAGGTGTTTCCTTGGAAATTTTAAAACCACCTAGTGCGACACACACACACCCACACACACACAAAAAAATTAAAAATTAAAAAAAAAAAAATATCAAAGAGAGTACAGGAGCCCTGTGAATAAAAGGTTCTGTCATCAGTACCGACTTTTTTTGCGTGTCCTTTTGAGTTTTCCGCACAAAAAACTAAAAAAAAAATCATTTTTTTGGACAGGTCGTGTTTCAAAATCAACTGATTCAATCCGACTCAGCGACGCGAGCAAACCCTCAGAGTCCAACGAGGAACGAAAAGGATGAATGAAAGGCGGCGCGGGGCCGAGGACCGGAAACGGACTGAAACGATTGTTTTTGCTCGTAAGTGAGAATCGGCGGATCGACCGAGATCTTGACCTGAAGCATGCTCACCCCGAGTACCTGTTGGATGCTAAACGGTGGCAGAGGGCACACACTTTCCATACATAAATAAACTTATATATAGACAGGAGCATTTATATATAGGCGGCTTGATTTCTTGTAGCATCATCAAGTGAAGCGCTGTTGGATGAGTGTCGAGCCAGATCGGTGCTCAGCGCCCGAGCCCAAGCGGCGCACAATGGGTCGGGTCAATAGGAGACGTCGGCCAAAATGTGGAAACTTTAAACGCTTATAACTCCGTTTATACAGGACTTTGAGGTTCTAAAAGTGGTTTCATTGGTTTCCTCGTGAGATTTCCTTTCAGAACCACCCCTTATTGTATAAATTGTGACGAAATATACATCAAAATTTGCGGTTTTAGTAAAGAAATTTCATGTCCGACCTCTCCAATTGACTCGATCCACCGTGCGGCGGCGGTCCTAAGTGGCGCTTCACCGCTTAACACACGAGGACCCGTAAGCCCGCCCACTCACACACCACCAATACACCCTCACATCCACAACCACGCATCCTCACACGCAGCTCTCCCAGGCTCTTGCCTTTTCATTCTGGAATAGACTGATTTAGTGGCCACGTCATTCGGTATAATATCCAACCCTTGCTTCAAATGTAAACAAAAACACAGAACCTTGTTTCTGATTCGCGCTCTTTTGCACCATGGTGGTAAAATGCATCCAAGTGTTCCTTTAAATCAAAAGTTCTCCAATTAGATGAGCCTTTAATTGATTTATGACAGTTCAATGACTAAATTTTAATAAATTAACGCAATTAACTCATGAAGAATTCGCACATGAGGTTATGTCTCACATGCAGCTCTCCCAGCTAGGCGCTTGACTTTTGATTCTGGAATAGACGGATTTAGTGGCTCTCCATTCGATATAATAAAATAACAACTTAATTTGGGTAAAAGGCTGCAAAAAACAACAAAGGATAAACAAAACCAGGAACGTTTCAAAATAGTAACAATTTCATTTTCAACCGGAAAAAAATATAAATAAAAACGAGCCGTCGATACGCTGTAATTGCGAGACCGAGACTAATATGGAACTCGATATAATATGGAACCCTTGCTTCAAATGTAAATAAACACAGAACCTTGTTTCTGATTCGTGCCCTTTGCACCATGGTGGTGAAATGCGTCTCAATGTTTCTTACAATCAAAAGTTGTCGCATTTAATGAGTCTTTAATTGATTTATGCAACGACTAAATTTTAATAAATTAACACAATTGACTCATGAAGAATTTGTACATAAGGTTATGAAAGTTTGTTTTGGTTTGAACCAAGAGTTCGATATTATATTGAACGACGTAGTCACTAAATCATTCTATAGAGCATAGGAAAGGACGCGCGTTGATGACGGCGCAGAGATACAACTATTCGTGCTTGATGGATGTCCGTGTTGCATCTACAAAATTGAAGGCGCGATGGCCTCGTAAGAAAAGTCAAAAAACGAAGCTCAAAGACGCGTCTTTCGTATCGTCGACTGTGTTAACTCTCGAATTTTTTTTTATTTTCAATGTGACGTTATTCCTTTTGCAAATGTATTTTTAGAACTATATCTATAAAAGCTCGTATGTACCGGCCGAATGAAACCCACGGGGCACGTGTTTTTAGCGAGCCTGGGTTGATTTGGCCCGGCTTGGGCGTCTGAGGGTTAAGTTAGTGTTCCGCCAAATTTTGCATCTTTCACTTTTATGCATATATAATGAGGTATCACACGGTCAGAAGACTTCATGACTTTCACAAGTTCACAAACAGATGCACCAGTTTCAGCAACTTCTCCTTCGCTCGCACGGAAAATAAAAAAGATTTAAAGTTACACTGGAAAAAAAACACATTGGATCTAGAGTCCAGACTCTTAAAAACATCGACAAGAAAAAATACTCTTGATTCAATCAGATGTAAGCTTAAATCAAGAACCCAGCCTCTTAATTTGAACGGATTTCCTTTTGATTTAAGCTTAAATCTGATTGAATCAAGAGTCCTTTTTCCTGTCAATATTTTCAAGAGTCTGGACTCTAGATCCAATGTTTTTTTTTTTTACCAGTGTATTTTTTTTTTTTTTTTTTTTTTTTTTTTTTTTTTTCCAGTGTACGTTGTCTCTTGCTAATTCTTGGTCACATGATACGTAAAAAAAGAAATTCCCAGTTAAAATTGGGTGTAAATGAGACGCCATTTAGACTACATTTACAATAAGGAACTATTATTTCAGTCTCCTTATTGGAACATCATAGAGTATGGTATAATTTTTTTAATGTTTGTTTCCTGTATGTTATGTTCCTTTCATGTGATGTTTCCAGTAGAATCCGATATTGAAGCCCAAAATACTCTAGGCTGAATGAAATCTGAGCTCCGAAAAAAATATGGTGGTCCAAAAAACCTCAAAATAACCTTGGGAGATTTTGAGAGACATGGGCTTCACCGGTAACCATTACTGGGTAATTTTTGTCATAGATTTTGATTTTGATTTTCACAATACTCTATGAATAAAATTTTGGCCTCAAAAACTAGATGGCAGACTAAAGGATCCAAAAGAACCGCATAAACAACAAAAAATTCAAATTTGAGGTATGCGGGCTAACTTCAAGGAATGTTAACGATAGTCACAAAAAGTCGCGGGATCTTTTTGAAAGGATTTAAGTTGGGTATACGTAAGGAAGTGTCAACTACCCAGACCATATTTCTATTCATGTGAGAATTTTTCAAAAAGGACGTCTTTTCCCGTCATTTTGCCACCTCTTCTTTTGCTTGCAATGACGCAAATGCAACTATTGAAGCTTCCAACACTCCGCTTTTGCCTACCTTGTCAATTGAAGGAGAATTCAGAATCTCCCCGGAAAACTGTGTCCTCTTCTATGCAACACCTTTTTTAGGCATTTTCCCTCGTTTTTGATGCAAAACAAGAGGTATTGCCTTCATTTTCGTTTTCTAAAAATCTCTTTTCTAAACGTCCGACATTTTTCACTTTGCGCTGAGAGGGGCTTCACCACTGAATCGGGATAATTGACTGCGATTAACGTAGAGAAAAATCCTACAGAATTCTTTTTAAAACAGCTGCGCCTTCGATGACCTTTGATTTCTTGTTTCGACGTTCGCCCTAGGAAAAAAAGGTAACTCCATTCCACGGTTGCAACATTAACGCGGACAATTTGATTTATACAAGACTATGACTGAGCGATTTGTCCGATATTGTGCTGAAATTAGCCTGTAATCGGAAAAAAAATCAGCGAAATTTTCAGTCAATAATTTACCGAGCAGTTTCCCACAACAATCACGATTTGCGAGTGAAAAGTTCGCAGCGTTGAAGTGTAGTTACTTTGTTTCGACCAGAAAACGATGGATCCGCCTCAAAAAGAGGATGTTTTGCCGCAAAATCGTCGAGACCTCATGCTCGCCGCCGCCGCCAAGAGGGCTATCAAAGCGAAAGTATCAATCTTGGGCGATATTCCAAGGAGCGACGAGATGTTTATCGTCAGGAATCCGGGAGCAGAGCCGCGAAAGGCGCACCGGGAATCATAGGCGGGCTCGCGGGTCTACACCAGCGGGAGGGGGGTGCGAGGAGAGGGGGCGGGAATGGGCGCGCGAGCAATGGGGAGGCTCGGGGAGCGGACGGCCCGCCCCTCGCGGGGACTGGCGGGTCCCATGATGCCTCGGCGGAGCCAGGAAGCATGCCTAGCCGCAGCGCCGCGCTGCGCCGCGCCGTGCTTTACCCCTAGTCCGAGTCGGGATTTCGTCGGCGTGCGGCTGTATAGTGGCAGTGTGTGCGATCGCTGGGGAAATCGGCGCGACCATCGCATCCCATTGTTTATATACATAAACCCCGATTGATTATACATATAATTGTGAATTCGTTGTTTCGGATGTGAGGGCTGGTCACCCTGGCTCTTCCAGTGCAAGCGGCGTGCCCTTCTTTCTCCGCGGGTCTGTTCCCCCATCAGCAGGAGGCTAGCGACCTCCTGCCAGAGCTCAATGGTGTTGACCTGGCCATGTCCTTGAGCCCCAAGAGCCAGCCGCATACGACCCCATTCTCAGTGACGGATATCCTCAGCCCGATGGAAGAAACCTACCGAAAGTTGGAACTCTACACTCCCTCGTCGCCGTACAGGAGTAGCACCGGCGGGAGCAGCGCCGGAGGAAGCAGCAGCGGCCCTCCCACGGCCAGCCCTAGTGCCATGTCCAGCTCCTACGTCCATGTCCACCAGTTCCCCCCGCAGTATTGCAACGGGGCCGATATCTCCTACGGCAACTCCACCGCCAGCTGGTATGGCGCCACCGCCAATGACCCCAGATTCGCAAGTAAGTCCAACTTCCTTCCTACCGTCACCCTCCGTCTCTCCATCGAGTCGCAGATGATATGTACGTAAAGCGTGGACTTTAAATGTCATAATATATCCTAGGGATGGCCTGGCCCCCATTTCTCCATAGGTAAGGGGTCTGGGACTTTCCAATCAGTGCAAAGGGGGTTGAGGGATATCGAGGAAAAGTGACCGCTTTAGATGCATTTTAAGGATAATCTAGCCCAAAATTTCACGATGTGTAAACTTAATATTCAACTCGACCAATTATTCTTGAAAACACCACAAAATTTGAGCTCCTTCCCATCAACGAATAACATTTTGAAACATTTTTATTAAACGAAACAAGGAATCATACCGAATAATACTATATTTTACCATTAGGCCAGATGATACTATTTTAAACTCTAGGAGCCAGACCCGCCCTGGTGAGTCCTGGCCGCTTCTTCTTCGATCCATCACCTCCTGTTTAGGTTTATCCTCCGGTTAAAATGCGATAGAGGCCTTTATTATATTATACGTACTAAAATTATGTTCATGTCAAAAGTTTAGTTCCAAAACGTCCCAGCAGAGTTGATTATGTTATTCAGACCATGGAATTTACTATATATGCCCTAAAATTTCTCAGAGTGGCATTTGTCGTTTCGAATTTTGAAAGGATGAAGAGGTGCAGAAAGTAGTCGGAGGCACTTGGCCTTGGCAGTAGAGATCTAACACGGAGAAAAATAAAATAAACTTTCCTCTAGCCTCCGCCGCGGAGATGGTAGAGCGTAGGAAAACATGTCGCCTAGGAGAGGAAGGATGTCCGAAAGTGCAGAAAGAATGTGCTGAGGACAGTCACTGGCTGTGCCCAAGTGCGGATTAGAAGAGTTGAGCAAAATTATCATCCCCCGCATGAGCTGCTCAGCGCATTCTTTTTTTTTCACGCATAGTGTATACCTAGAAAGTAAGTTTTGAAGAGAAAAAAAGGGACTGTCCATCGTATAGTGCCTCAGCAGATACTGGTTTTTCCCCCTCTTTCTCTGATTTTTATTTTCATTTTGTTGATTGATCTTTAGTGTATAATATCTTCCATACATGTAGAGTTATTACTGTAGAGAGGAGTCATGTCGTTTTATGATACTGGGGTCCTCTTTTTAGTGGTGGTGGGCAAAATTTTCCACCAGAACCAGTACAATTAATTTTCTCATTCCAAACTAGCAAACATGTTTACACAATGTTTCCAAAAAAAGACTTGGTTCTTTTCCACTGGCGCAGAACAAATAATTCTGAAACCCTGCGTTGACAGTCTTTCATAGCCGAATAATAACTCTTTCAGATTATTTTCTGAGAATAGATAGATAGGTAGATAGACAGGTACGTCTAGATAGATAAATGACAATTCATTTAAATTGTGGGATTTAAGGCTGAAAATGATAAAACTTAACTTGAGACGGGTTGTCAGAAATTTCTGGCATTTTCAATCGTACCAAGGCTAAAATATGAATACATATATCTCTGGATCTCGTGCGAAGCCCTCAATAGCTACGATAGACAGGTAGATAATACATGCATACACACGGGAGAGATAGATGGGTACATGTATCTTTGAAGGAAGTATCGAAAAGATTCAGTGGCATGTATAACTACGCCTTCGACCCATAATGGTATTTTAACTCACCGCGGCTACAGGTTCCCGTTCCGGTATTAGGACAGTAGGAAAATACACGAACTTAAAATCTCATTTCGTGTAACATGCAGTATGCACGCATATTTCCGACGGCATACCGTTGCATTGAAAATCCGTTTTTCCAAATCTTCTTCTTACGCGTTAATACGTAAATACGTCCCTCAAACTTGTCTCAGTTACAGGTTTAAATTATCTTTTATATTTCGTTTAATTCCAGAAACATGCAACTAGCTTTGTCCCCGTAGGAGAAATGAAAATCAAATTATTTCATTCTGTTCAATGAGTCAGCATAAAGATGCAAAATTCTGTGTTTTAAAGAGACTCTAATTTTAGAAGCAGTTCTCATTGCTCATATAATAATCATCAGAACGATAAAACGTTTCCTTATTTCTTTTTCAATTTAAATGTAGATTCTTAATACTGTGCTTTCGCACAAGAGAAACGAAAGAAGGTGATACCTAAACTAAACACCGTGTCCATTAAGACTTCCTATTCCAAATGTCTATATGTTTAGTTGTAGACCAAAAGCTTATGTCATAATGGAACTACTACAGAGATATGCTCAATACCGCGAATTCTTCATAAACTAGCATTTCTCAAAATTAATGCGACAGGTTAATGATGGCTGTAGGTATATAAAGACATAGACAAATATAAAGATATAGATAATTAAATCAGGGATGCTAATGCAATATTTATGGGGAATAATTAATGAATTAGACCGTGTTATTAAAGTTACTTAGTAGTTTTCCAATTTTAGTATTATGAAGTTGTACTATAACAATAAGCTTAGGTCGCACCGGTCGCAGGTGATATTGTTTTTACTGTAATGCAGCTGTCAGCGTTCGATCTGCGTGCACTTTACATTATTGGATGCGTTAATAACATGAGACCTGATTCATTTCTTTCCCGTTTTTGCGTTTTCAAATTTATGGCTATAAAGTCTAAAAAAGCGTCTCTCCAACTGATTGTGAGTTGATGCATACTACTACGATTTTATTCGCTTTTTAGAAGGAATTCAACGATCAGTTTTCATGGAAATTTTCTGTGAATCTTCTTCATTTGTCCAAAAATATTCACAGGAAATAGATATCACACTAAGAGTTCATGCTATCTGGTCATTTTTAGGTTACCAAACAAAACAAAAAAAAAAAAATTCTTAATTTCTCAAGTTGACCATGAGTATCTGAGACACATTTTTGCTTATTCAGCATCTTAAAATTACCCCTAAGTAACCAATTATAAAGTATACATCAGCATCTCTTTCGAGTATTTATTTAAACATTAAAAAAATTCTGAAAAGTCGGCCTTTCCAAAAACCTTATGCTTCAAAATTTTTGTGACATTTCACCTAATAATTCAATCGAAATTCTGAATTTCTGAATTTCACTCTTATAATTCTGAATTTTACTTTTGCATTTCTGAATTTCGCCAAAAATCTAAAATGCCCAATCTCATAAAATTATTCGCTGTAAGTGTTCCGGATTGTACAAAATCTGCTGTGAATCAATTTATGCTGCCTAGTTTTGTGAATGTCTGAAGGTTGAATAACTTTCATTTGCATTGCAGCTTGTGACATTTTTCATTCAACGTTCAATAATGTAATTATAAGTTGTTTGGACAGTTCAGTACAGAGAGAATAATACTTAGCCAGATCAAATACTTACTATGGAAAAACTTCTGTCAGCTTTTGTAAAGAAAACCAAACTTTAATACCAACAATAAGTTTTTTTCATTTTTTATTGGTGTTTTAAACCCGTCGAATAGACCAGTGTCAAGTCAGAAATTTTGTGAACGCTTTACATTATCGTTGGAAAATTTTTGAAATCGTTTGACAATTTGTTCACAACGCGTCATATTTTCAGTTTCTCCCTCAATATGTCGATAAATCCATCTGTTTTCCCCTTTTCTTTAAAGTAAAGTAACTTTCGAGAACTGATAAACACCAATGAACGATATAAATAAATATGAATTATTTAAATACGCAGAGAGGTCGATGATCTGAAATATTCATTTTTCCACAGAAAAGAGAGGGAAAAAGTTCATGTGCAATAAGTTCTACGAGTGGGATGTTGAAAGGGATGAAAAATATTACCTCATCTTCAGACAGTCTAGAGGGGTAGTTTAACAGATTTATGTAAACAACCTTTTTGTCTAAGGATCATATAGCTCTGACATATTTGTCTGGAATAATGCCCGAATTTTTTCAACACGTTTCCTTCACTCGTATCGTCAGTATCGTATCTTAACGTGTATTTTTGAGGCAGAGGAGAAGAGTTTGTCATTCGAAGTAACAATATTTGCCCGTTGATATTCGAGAAAACATGTTTACCGAAATATGTTTACTGAATTTAGGTATTTTCGATTATCCTCAGGGTTACGGGTTAGTCTGGGGCTGAGCAAAGTAAACGGGAATGGAATGTAGGAAGAGTAAATACCCAGTACAGACCTACGCGCTTTCCTTGTTGGAAATATTGTTCAAACATTTATTTTCGTCCCAGAATTTTAAATCGAAGATTTGAGCTGTCGTAAAATTTTGACATCGAGACAATTCAAAAGTTTAAGTCGAAAATCGTCTTTTTCAAACAATTCCCGGAAGGAGCTTGGACTCGCACAAAATCACACCCATTAAAATATTCATACGCTTTATTTCGAGGTTTTCCTTGTCTTCTCCGAAATGACTACCTTATCTGGAATTTCATTTTCCCAAGACTATCTTGAAAAATCTCAGCTCCAGTTAAATCTGGCCACGCACTAATCTAATTTAGGTATTTTTAAAAATTAAATCATTTTCTCATCATGCAGCGTTTTACTGAAGAAGTTCACAAGCACTCCAAGCCAAAAAGTAAGGTCTTTTTGTTTATTAAGTGATGAAAATATAGTAACTGATCTGTGATTGTGTTCCTTTTGAAAGCTCCTTTGGCCAGCCTTATTTTTTTTTCTTTTTTTTTTTCTTGCAAGCGGTAAGTATAGACGAATTCGCTGAATCTAGTATAGGTCAAACGCTTATCGCATCTCACTCATACGTTGAACTCATACTTTTTCAATATAATATTATTTAACGTGTATTACATGAAATATAAAATGTTGATGCGAGCACAATGTGATGTTTAACCCCCCACCCCTGGTCTAGTATTCATACAACAACGACCATATATTTGAATTTTTTTTTTTTTTTTTTTGAAAAAAAAATAAGAAAAAAACAACATTTTACAAATTTGAAACTATAATATCTTTGGAGAATTCTCTCACGGTAAAATTGGTGCTGAGAAAACCAACCCGGAAGTATAACTTTCTTACAGTCCCGGGAAAAAATAGGGCAATTTTTCACA